TCTCAATCTGCCCATAAAATTGATGTTGTGTTTAACCACATAACACGCTACGTATTTGGATTAGCGAAATATGACCATATCTCTGGGTGGAGGTCGCGTTTGTTGGGTTGTGAAATCTCTGAGTATTGGAAAGCCAGGAATTGTATATTTCTATGTCGACTTTTGCTAGATAATGCTCCTAGCGATCTCTACAATAAACTAATCTTCCCTAAATCAGCTCGAATAAACGACTTGATAGTACCATCATTTAATTACCTAACCTCTGCAAGGCTATTCTTTCTCAATGCTATTCGTATCTGGAATTCTATCCCTACCTCCATTGGGAGTGGATTGAATAAAAGCAACTTTAAGAACCCCATCTATACGTACTTTCGCTGAACCAAATATTTACTTATTTTTTATTGTTATTATTACTATTATTATTTAATTTTTTTTTAATTTTGTGAGTCTGGGTTTCGCTATCTAAATGTTTAACTTTCTCTTGTCATCTGTGTTGATCTTTGCTACATATGTATAATGTGATATATATTTTATTTTATTTTTGTTTTAAGTAATCTGTATGTATTTTATTTTACTGGTATTTTTAATCTCTGTTTTGTACTATAAAAGATCTATGATCTTACTAGCGGTACCCCGGTGTGCTGCTCTACACCAAATATTGAAAAATGAATGAAAAATCCTGGAATTTTTCTATATGAAAATTTATCATTTGTTTTATTTCAAAATGTTTGATTCTTTATTTTAAATCTTAATCCAATACATTTGGATATACAACATGTTTTTGTTTTTCCATCTTGGGTAAACAATTTGGAATGCCAACTCTTGAGCAGGCCATGTATAGCTACCAATTCCAGTAATATACCACACATTTCGAATTCGGGGGAAACTTAACACAAACCATCTGCATAATAGCCCGACTATGCCGTATAAATTTGGTGGAAATCTTGCACTTAATTTTTATATATAAGATGGGAGGTGCCACGCCCTCTTTTCCAATACCCCCCATTTTTCTCCATGAGTATGGTATTATTTGATATACCTCTATACCAATTTCCAGTACTTACCACAAATATTTCAAGAGATATACAACATAAAAATTTTAGTTAGTATGGGAGGTGCCACAACCCCTTTTACGAATTCGGGCAAACTTCACACAAACCATCTGCATGATAGCCTGAATATGCCGTATAAATTTGGCTGAATTCGGTGAAGCCGTTCTCAAGTTATAAGCTCACACCAAAAACGTGTACTTATTTTTATACATAAGAAGATACATATGCTACGCCCCCTTTTCCAAATTTGGGCAAACTCCACATAAAATATCTCCATGATGGCCCGAATATGCTATATAAACTTGGTTGAATTCGGTGAAGCCGTTCTCAAGTTATAAGCTAACTCACTAATTTTTATATATGAAATAGAGGCGCCACGCCCCCTTTTCCGAATTCAAGCAAACTTCACATAAACCATCTGCATGATAGCCCGAATATGCCACATAAATTTGGTTGAATTCGGTGAAGTCGTTCTCAAGTTATGAGGTCACATCAAAAACGTGCACTTATTTTTATATATAAGATTGTACTAATATTTTTTTCTCCTAATAAATGAAATTAGTTGAAAAATGAAGACTACAGTGAAATATGAACATTAAATTCCAATTTTAAACTACTGTGTGCTGGCTTCGGCGTGCAGTATGAATTATGGTAAAGGCATTTTGGCAGCAAAGGATGGCGAAATCCTTGAAAAGGATTTGGCTTCGTTTTTCGGAATCGGTTAATTAGTTGGTAAATATTTGATTTAAATTACGATATGGGTAAGGTGTTTTTATCATACAAGTTGTATGTACGTGTTCCCAAATCATTTTGAAAAAAAGTTAAGTAATTTGAGGCATTGACAAGGATTGCAATTCCTGATTTTGCGTAGTTGTATCTTTTGTTGTGCTGAAATATTCTGTAGTTTGGAAGATGAAGAAATTGTGTGTGTTTTGTTGACTATGTGGGTTTCTTGAATAATATTGATTTCGGGCTTGTATTTTGCTAATAGATATTCCAAACCAAATTTATTTTTTATGAATCCTTGTATATTCCACTGGAGAATAGTTACATGTATGCCGATGTCCATTTGTGCGCTTTAAATATTTGTGTTTATGGTTCGTTTATCTGTGTGTTGAGTGTTCTTCTATAGATGTTTGGAGATATGAGTTCTTCTAGTTGTGGGAATTTGTTGAATATTTGTGAGCATGGTGACCTCTGTGTCATTGCTAAGACTACTGGGGTTGTCCTTTCCGTATGTACTTGTTGTTGCCTCGTCTAATTCTTCTGGCATGTTGCTTTTTTCTTTTGACATTGCTTCAATGTTTTTATGGTTGGAGCTTTCCATTGTTGCTGTGTGTTGTTCTGCTACTTTAGTGTTGTTGTTTTCGATTTCATGGTTTTTATTAGAGTATTTTGATATTAGTTTGACATAATTGTTTTCTCTTTCTTTTTTGCTCTGGTTTGTTTCCGTTGTAGATGTATTATTTCTGACTATTTGTGAAAGGGTTGGTTTGTTTTCGTTTTTATTGTAGGGTTCAATTTGGTACAATACTGCATTGCTATTGTAGACTTATCTATTTAATTTTTATTTTATTTACAGATTTGTGTTTTAGTATGCTTGGGTATGTAGTCGTCTGAACGGTGGGTTTCATTGTTGCAGTTGATGCAAAAAGTTCTTGAACAGTTCCTGTGCCGTGTTTTTTGTATGTCCAAGCTTCTGGCAGTTTCTGCAACTCGTCGGGTTGGGGACGTACTCTTGTACAAGAACCCTTTCCCAACCTAGTTTCACTTTTTCAGGTCTGCGGATGAGGTCAAACAAGACTATTGCAGCTCCAGTGTAAATTATTTTGCCGTCAACTCTTTTCGAAAGCTTCCGGACTTCGATGCCTTCTCCAGCTCTTTTCCCCGAGAAGTTAATGATATTTCTTGAGAAGATTCGGCCTTGCGTTGAGTTGAGCGATTTGCGTGACGTAATTTCCCGGGTACAATATCGATGTAGGTGACTTTTATAAATTTTTCCGCTGCTTTAAGGTTGAGGGCTTTGATTAGAAGATCTCCGGATTTTAGTTGTGGTTGTTGTTGTAGCTGGTTCTTGATCTTTTGTTACTTTTTGTAGGGTTGCCGCAAAAGTTCACGTCGGGATCTAAGTCCCTGAACCTATTCGTTGTGGGGGGTCTGCCCCCTTCATTTTTGTTTTCACTGCTTTCTTATGTGTTATTTATTTTATTAGTAGGAATGGGAAATTTGATTTATTAGGTTCTGAAAAAAAATCTTTGCGAAATCGAGATAAACACGTGTTTTTCAATATGCAATTTCTCCATATCACACTGTATATACGTCTTTGCGCGGCTCGTGCTCTATATATGTGTAGGGATCTGACCTAACACTTATAGACGAATATATTATAGGTGGCAACACTAATACTTTTTAGCTTCTAACTGCAACCAACTTCACATTGATATAGAGACAAGATGCTGACGCGATTGATTTAATTGTTGAATTGTAGTACTTAATTATAATCTTATTTAATAAACAGGAATATAGAGCATTGTGCTCCATAACTGGTGACCCCGCAAGAACACTTAATGGAAGACGAAAACGAGGACAGATTCGAGGACGCGGTTACCCCTTTCCGGGTGGCACGGCTCACCGTGAAGCCGCCACCATTTTGGAAACCAGAGCCTCGGTTGTGGTTCGCGCAGGTGGAGGCTCAGTTTTCGCGCGTGGGAATCTCCACAGATGAGACTAAATTTTATACGGTTGTGGCCGAAATAGACTCGGCAGTACTGGCACACGCCATTGACATAATTTCTTCGCCACCTGCTACAAATAAATACGAAGCCTTGAAGCAGAGGCTGATTAGCGAATTTGGTAATTCAAACGAAAAGCGACTCAAACGTTTTTTCGCAGGTTGCGAGTTGGGCGACAAAAAACCTACAGCTTTACTCAGAGAAATGAGATATCTTGCCAACCATCGCTTGGACAAAGAAATTTTAAAATCTTTATGACTGTGACGTTTACCAATCCATGCACAACAAATTTTAGCGACCCTTGACGACGACATAGAGGACTTGGCGATGAAAGCCGACAACATAATCGAAATACCGACAATAGGTAGCAATCCTAACGCAGTCAGTGCAATAACAGACAATGCATTGGAAGCCATTTCCGACTTGGCGAACAGGCTCGATCGTCTCGAGCACAGTAATCACCGCAGTGTCCAACAAAACGATCAGGGCCACAGTAATAAAGCAGTACGTCTGCAGCCATCGTCTAGTGCACGTAATCGTTCGACTCTGCCAACAAACCACGGTTTCTGTTGGTATCATCATACTTTCGGTGACAAAGCAACTAGGTGTCGATCGCCATGCACCTACGCTCAGCGACACGCGGAAAACTAGTCAGTCCCCCGTTCAAAGCGGCTACAGTGGGGGCTGACAATGGTTCTTGCCGTCTTTACGTCCGAGACAGAGTATCCTCGTTGAAATTTCTTATCGATACGGGCGCTGAGATATCAGTGGTGCCCAAGCATAATAGCTACAACACTCAAACATCCGCTAATGAAACTAGTGGCTGCAAATAATATGCATATAAATACTTACGACAAAAAACGCTTTACATTGGACCTGGGTCTACGGCGGACATTCTCCTGGGTATTTATTGTCGCCGACGTGGCGCACCCTATATTGGGTGCTGATTTTTTACAGCACTACGACATTGTGGTGGACGTCAAAAATAAGGTAATCATCGACAAAAAAACGAACGTTCAAACTATTTGTCAAATAATGAAACCAGCACATAGTATTATTTCACTAAGAGGACATATTCCAGCAAATTTTAGTGCGTTATTCCGACCTCACCAATGACTCGACTGGGTTAAAGAAAACCGAGACGGCAGTCCAGCACTTCATAGAAACGAGGGGAGCCCCGGTAGTTCAGAAAGTACGTCGCCTGTCCCCTGAAAAGATGGAAATCGCTAAAAAGGAGTTCGAGTATTTGTTGGAAAGCGGAATTTGTCAACGCTCGAAGAGCCAATGGTCTAGTCCGTTGCACATGGTGCAGAAATCTAACGGCTCCTGGCGCCCATGCGGCAATTACCGACGATTGAATGCAAAGACAATTCCAGACAACTATCCCGTGCGTCATATTCAGGACTTTGGAGGCGACCTACATGGTAAGACAATTTTTTCTGTGGTCGATTGTAGGAAAGCGTACCATCAGATTCCGGTGCATCCAGCTGATGTTCCAAAGACTGACATACTAACCCCTTTCGGGCTTTTTGAGTTTTAGTATATGACGTTTGGCCTCAGAAACGCCGCCCAAACGTTTCAACGATTTATCTGAAACGGTCAAGGGACTACCGTTTGTGTTCCCATATCTCGACGACGTACTCATAGCATCCACGTCAGAGGCAGAGCATGTTGAGCACCTGGAACAACTCTTTAGACGTTGTCGTGAGAGAGGTTTAGTTATCAACGAAGAAAAATGCCAACTAGGCCAGAGCGAGGTGGAATTTTTAGGCCACTTGGTGTCGTCTAAAGGCATCAGACCACTCACTCACTCACTCACAAGGTAAAGGGTATACTGGAGTGCAAGAAACCGAAAGTGGTTCACGAACTAAGGCGGTTTTTGGGGACCATACATTTTTATAGGCGTTTTCTACCGCATGCGGCCGCAACGGAAGCGCCACTGCAGAGATTGATGGGTGCTTGTAAGAAGCGGGATCAGACATCAATCAGCTGGACGCCTGAAGCTACCGAAGCTTTCCAAAAGCTCAAGGAACAATTAGCGAATGCAGCACTCATTGCATTCCCTTTGCGAGGTGCCACGATTGCCCTGATGACTGACGCATCAGACAATGCAGTCGGTGCTGTTCTACAGCAGCGGGTTGACAACGGGTGGGCACCGTTGGGATTTTACTGACAAAAGTGTACTTCAACTGAACAGCGATGTAGTGCGTATGATCGCGAATTGCTAGCGATCTACAAAGCGATCCGACATTTCCGTTACTTTCTGGAAGGAACGAATTTTATTATCTTTACAGACCACAAACCGCTTATGCACGCCTTCGACCAGAAGTGGGAAAAGCTTTCACCACGACAAACTCGGCAATTGAACTACATCAGTCAGTTTTCATCTGACATCAGACATATTAGTGGTGCTGACAATCATGTAGCTAACATGTTATCACGGACTGAAACATTCGCTCTGCCATCGCCGATAGACATGCAGCATTTACACGACGAACAAAGCAACAGCGATGAATTGAAGGAGTTGCTCAACGGTGGGCCTACTTCGCTTCACTTGGTACAGTATCACCACCCCGATACGGGCATTAACATAGTCTGCGATGAGTCAATCGGCACTCTTCGCCCATACGTCCCAGAATCCTTACGACAGGTAGTATTCAACGCCAACCACGGGTTAGCACACCCGGGTGCGAAAGCAACCATTAAACTAATTTCCAGAAATTTCGTTTGGAAGAGAATGAGCAGCGATTTGCGGGCACGGGTACGCAGCTGTCCAGCATGTCAGCGTTGTAAAGTCGCATGTCACACAAAAGGGGAACTCGAGACATTCGCGGTCCCAGGCAAAGTTTCGAGCACATCAACGTGGACATAGTCGGACTCTTCGCGACTTCGAGGGGATTCACCTACTGTTTAACTTGTGTCGATAGGTTCTCCAGATGGATAGAGGTGATTCCGATGTCAGACATGACAGCTGAGACCGTCGCTAGAGAGTTAATTAGAGGGTGGACAAGTAGGTTCGGTACACCCAAGTACATCACCACGGATCAGAGCCGACAATTTGAGAGCGCCTTATTCACGCAACTAGCGAAGCTGCTCGACGTAAGACATATTCACACCACCAGCTATCATCCGCAAGCGAACGGGTTGGTGGAAAGGTGGAATCGAGTTTTGAAAGCCGCACTCAGGTGCCACTCAGCCGACACCAACTGGGTGGATGTTCTCCCGATTGTCCTACTCGGACTAAGAATGGCTGTGAAGGAGGACTTAGGCGCGTCGGTAGCTGAAAGGCTCTATGGTCAGCCGATTCGGCTTCCTAGTGATTTGTTGGACACCTCAGAAAGCACACCTGCGGACGAGCAAAGTTTCTTACGAGATCTACGACAGCACTTCGAAAATGTGAAACCGACGCAAACTTCGCAGCACGGTAAACATGCAGTTATTGTACCCAAAGATCTACGTTTTTGCAGTCACGTTTTCTTACGAGATGACACCATTCGCAAACCGCTGAAGGTACCGTATGAAGGTCCATATACTGTCGTTAATTAATACCCGAAAACATACATCATACTAATCGGGTCGAAACCAGTCATGGTATCCATAGACCGGTTCAAGCCGGCTTACTTTCCAAGAGACGAGCTAGCAGCTAACCCCGCCAACCTACGGCATGGCACGCAATGCCATTTTCCCGGCGCTCCTTCTGGAAAGGGGGTGGTGTAGGGATCTGACCTAACACTTATAGACGAATATATTATGGGTGGCAACACTAATACTTTTTAGCTTCTAACTGCAACCAACTTCACATTGATATAGAGACAAGATACTGACGCGATTGATTTAATTCTTGAATTGTAGTACTTAATTATTATCAAGAATCCCGAGTCAATCAAATGTACACTCGTCTTTTTAAAGTTACTGCGGGGTTTTTTATTAAAATTCAATATCGAAAAATGTCTTATGTCCAATCGACTGTCCTCGTTCGCGGTTCGTTGCAACTCACTCGTCTCATTCTTGTTCGTTTCTCTTGTATGTGTTGTGTGTTATTGTCTGTCAGGGTCGCATTATAAAGTATTCAAAGTAATGCTTTACAGAAAAAGGTATTCTTCAAAAATATCATTTGACAGTTCGGCCTATCCTACTATGACATCGCCTCGATGTCATCTGCGGTATCATCTCCCTCCATAATATCGTCGTCATCTAGGGTGGGCAGTAGTGCACACCAAGGTTTCATTCGTTCAGATGTATAAATAGAACTGGACCGTTTCTGTTTACGCTGCATTCCGTCGATGTCTTCGATCAGATATCGATCTTTCCCAATCACCTTGGTGACAACATATGGACCACGATATCGTGCATCCAACTTACGCGATTCTCCAGTGGATTGTAGCTCATTTAAGACAACCACCAGGTCATCCACCGTGTACTGAGTGGGAGGTTTGTGTTTGGCGTCGAATCTCTGCTTCCACTTTTCTCGCTGCTGCTGCAATTTAGTAAGCCCTTCTACCCTTCTATCTGCCATAGGGAGTGTATCACGATCGTCAATGACCGCTGCCAAAAGCTTGTTTCGTATTACGTCTCGAATTTTAAAATCAAATATTAGATCATTGGGACTAAACCCTGTGCTCGCATTCACTTGAGCATTTACGCTGCATTGTAATTTTTGGAAATAATCGTCCCACTCTTTAGCATGTGTACCAGAAGTTCGCAGAAAATTCAAATTAGTTCGGTTGGCCCTCTCGACTTGCCCATTTGACCGAGGGGTTCTCACAGCCGTTTTGATGTGTCGAATATCATGGTCATCACAGAAGTTCTCGAACTGCTTGGATGTGTACGCTGTACCACGGTCGCTTACAATTCTCGCTGGTAACCCAAAATAGGAGCTAAGCTCAGTCAGAATCTGCAATACAGGTTGCGTCTTCGTGTTTCTTACTGGCTTCACTATTAAATACTTAGTAAACGCGTCGCTTATAGCAACAACGTACGTATAGCCCCGTTTGCTTTTTACAAAGGGTCCCAGATGGTCGACATGGAGCGTATAAAAGGGAATAGGTGTAACCGGATCAACATATAACGTGCCTTCCGGCTTGCCTCCAACAGCTTTATTATAACAGCACTCGACACAAGCAGATATGTAATCTTTAACATACTTTCGGATGCGAGGGAACCAGAAGTGTTGTTTCACGCGTTGAATCGTTTTCTCGAGCCCAAAATGGCCCATTTCATCATGGCAGTACATAGTGATACGCCAACGAACAGCTTTCGGGACAACGAAGAGCAGCTTACCACCATCACGTCGATAAAGTCGGTGGTTGTCTATCTGGTACTCATTCTTCAGCTGGTTTACTTGATCAGATTTTCGCTTTCCTTGTAACACGTCGATAATTTCTCGGATTTTGGCATTTTGGAGCTGCATGGTTAGCAACCAGTCTTCAGTTTGCAACGCGATATGCATTACATTTTCAGCAACTATTTCATTAGTTATAGGCATATGTATATGTAATACTTCTATATTGATAGAAAGCTAACATCTCAATGTGTAAGCATTCCGAAATCAAAGCGAGACAGTCTAGTACTGTTTTTGGCAATGTATTGTGTACTTGAGTGCCGGTTTTGTAAATTTGTCGTGTACATGTTTATTTATAAACGTATGTGTTCCTTTTCTTTCGTACGTGTTTATTGATATGTCTGTACTGTAGTGTTTTCGGACGGTACTAGCTCTTACTGCCAATATAGGAGTATTACATATATGGTTATAGGTGCTCGGCTCAGTGCATCCACATGACTCATACGTACGCCGGGTCTGTGAACACATTCGAAGTCCAATTCGCTTAAACGCATCCACCAACGAGCAATGCGTGGAATGAGTTCATTCTTTGTTTTTACGCTACTTATAGCTGCACAGTCGGTTACGACTCTAAAAGGTTTGCCTAGCAGGTATACAAGGCTTCAACTACCACCATAACCTCCAGCTCGTAGCTGTGGTAGCGAGATTCTACCACAGTACATCGTCTACTGAAATACATCACCGCATTCCAGGTTTTCCCATCGTCATTAGACTGAAGGAACACAGCCGCTATACCAATCGAGCTTGCATCAGTATGAACTTCATGCTTTGCTTTGAAGTCATACAATACCAACACTGGCCCACTCGTCAAAGCTTGGATCAAAGAGTTAAAAGCAACCATCTCTGTATATCACCCCATGTAAAGTTATTCGCAGCATCTTTTGTCGTTAATTTGTTCAAGGGTCTAGCGGTGATCGCATAGTTCTTCACGAACTTTCTAAAAAAACCCTGTGAGACCCAAGAATCGTCGTACCTCGGTCGCGTTAGTCGGTACCGGGAATTCACGGATCGCCTTCACTTTACACTCGCCGGGCGTAATACCATTAACGTTCACTTTATGACCGAGGAAGTTTATTTCTGTGGCCAAAAATTTGCACTTATCTCTCCGCAAAGCCAAATCGGCCTGTTCGAGCAAAGCTAAAAATTCGCAAAGTGTTTTTACGCCATCACTCACAGTTACACTCGGTATTATTACATCATCGAGATACGCGATCACTTTCCTTCGTTTCATTTTAATGCATAGTTCATTCATCATGGTCTGGAATACCGCCGGCGCGTTTACCAGACCAAATGGCATACGATTATATTCGTAATGACCATCATTAGTAAAGAACGCGGTGAATTGTTTACTACTCTTTTCAAATTCGATTTGATGATACCCCATGTTGAAGTCTAAGACAGTAAAATAGCGATTACCCGCGAGTATAGCAAAAAGTTCGTCCATAATTGGCATAGGGAATGGCTGCTTGACTGTAACCCGATTCAACTGTCTGTAGTCAACACACATCCTATATTCGTTATTTTTCTTCGCAACCACTACTATCGGCGAAGCATACGCAGAATTAGGTACTCGAATAATATCTTTTTCTAATAAGTCATGAATCGTCTAATTTACTATAGGGCGTTTTGCAAAAGGAAACCTATACGGTTTCATATTAATGGGCTGGTCAGCCGAAAGTTTGATACACATCTTCACCGAGTTAGCTTTTCCCAACGTAGAGAAGCGTTTTTCATATTTACAAAAAATCTTGTTAAAATCGCCATATTTACCCGTATTAGGTTCAACTTCAATCGCGTTTACTGTTTTAGTGTCACTATCATGAACGTATAAATTGTCACCATCGATTATGTATTTATTTTCACCCGGGCATAGGACATCACGCCCGAGGAGAATATCATTTTCAATCAAATTGTCATCAACAACCAATAAATGTACGCAATTATCAATTTTCATGACTTGTATTTTGTCATAACACTCAAACACTCCGCCTCCAAAACCTTTGAGACGCACATAGCACTTTTCCTTCAAACATTGTTCTATGTTTGCCGCAACTGAGTTACGAACCAACGAGCGTGAACTACCTGTGTCAACAAAAGCTTCGATTTCGTTGTCATGTACCAAAACTTTTTTTACCGTAAACTTGATAGGTTCGTCTTCAATCGCGTTGCACTTTTCGGATTTTTGTTTTTGCCCTGTGCAATCTCTTATACGGTGACCAATTTCACCACACTTTCCACATTTTGGTTTCTGTTTCTTCTCACTACATTCCCGCGATATGTGGCCTGTTTTACGACAATTATAGCAAATAATGTCACCCTTCGACTTCTTTTCATTTGTCGAACGTTTGATTTTATTGTATTGCATTGTCTGCTTAACCGGCGCGCTATTCTTCGCGACATTATAAGCACAATAGTTTTTAATCGCATATAATAAATCGATACACGTAGCATACCTTGCCACTGATAGACACTTTTTCATATCCGTATCGTTTAACCCGTTTATGACATACTTTATGATCGCTTGGTCATCC